TCCAGCATGATCTCCGTCCAAACTATTCTGTCCTATTTTGAGTACATGGGTCAGAACATGTATCTAAATTTTTTATTTAGAAAATATCATCACTGTGTAAATAGTGAACAATATCAGGCCCCCCGACAGTATTCATTCTCTTAGACATGGATCATCACTTGGCTTCCTGAGGAAAGTTTTCTAATCTTAGCTCCTCAGGAAAAGAGAGTAGGCTCTCTTTAAGAAAAAAAACAAAAACAAAAACAAACAACAACAACAAAAAACAATAAATCTGAGAATGGTTAGTTTTACTGTGGTGCCCCCTAGTGCTGTAAGAGATTTGACTCACTCTCTTATTTGCCAATACATAGACCACAGGAGAGAAGCAAAATTTGGAGAAGCAACAATTTTAGTAATTTGCCCTGTATTCTCTTTTGCATAGAATAAAGTGTGCTCCCTTTGCATGACTCACAAGACCCTTTGTGACCTGCCCCGGCCTAGGTTTTTGGCCTCACCTTTTGCCATTTTCCCCTATGAACACTCAACTTCAACCACTCTGAACAAATTGCGGTTCTACTGAGGAAGCCTTCTGACCCTGTCCAAGGCCACCATCTTTCTTGTCCATTTAAAGAATTTCCACTCCTCTTTCTAATCAGCTGAAGCATTACCTGTTCCTGCAGCTTCTACCATCTCTGAGTTTCTGGGGGTTTATCTGTAAATAGACTATGTCTAATGCCTGCTCAAAAATCCAAAAATTCTGTGTTTTTATCAGTACTTACCCTGAAAACCTGAAAATACTTAATGACAAGTTCAGTTCAACACTTCAGACGTTTCTTTTTAATTCTCACAGAATTGTTTATGAAATGCAAACTCAGATGTATTGGAAATCACTTATTTGCCTGTCATTTAAAAGAAGAATTTCTAAAAAATGTGTTCGATTACATGGGGGACGCATTTAAATTGAGCTAATCTCAGGGTACCTGGGTGGCTCAGCTGTTAAGCGTCTGCCTTCGGTCCGGGTCATGATCCCAGGGTTCCGGGATCAAGCCCCGCATAGGGCTCCCTGCTCCGCGGGAAGCCTGCTTCTCCCTCTCCCACTCCTCCTGCTTGTGTTCCCTCTCTCACTGTGTCAAATAAATAAATAAAATCTTTAAAAAATAAAATAAAAAAATAAATTGAGCTAATCTGAAATAAGACTTCTTCAGGCAAAAACACCTCTTTTTCTTCCTAATTGATACAAATAAAAATCCAAGTTATAGCCTGAAACTTCATCAAGAAACCGAGTTCTAATTCTGGGCATCATTGGTACAGAACCACTCACTCACTTTCCAAGTACCTCTACTTCTGTTCTTCCCAGCAGTAAAAGTGGTAAGAGTATAAATCTTTCACTGTGGGATTTGCTGAAGAATTATCAATAAAAGCCCTCACATATATAAAGTGCTACTGTAAAGATGGTACACATCTTAGAAAAGCCCTGGCTTCAAAAGTCCTGAGACACGTGGATATAATTTTTTTTCTTTTTTGGGAGGGAAAGAGATAGCAAGAGAGCACAAGCGGTGGCGGTGGGGGGGAGGAGATGAGGAGGGGAGAAGACATGGGCTCCATGCCCAAGCAGGGAGCCCAACATGCGGCTTAATCCCAGGACCTTGGGACCATGACCTGAGCCAAAAGCAGACACTTAACCGACTGAGGCACCCTGGCGTCCCACATGGATATAATTTACGAAAGCTTCACACATTACAGGTCAGCTCTTTTCTGCCATTGTTCCCAGCTGACACCACAGGTACAACTAGGAGCCTAATACTTTAAATGGCAGTCCCAATAAATATCCAAACAATGTGTATTGGTTTTGGTGACAGAAACACTCAGTTTTATAACTTGTATCATGGATATTCTTCTAGGGCATCCACTTCTTTCCCCTTTCTAAGTAAGGCATTTAGCTAACCCAGAATAGGTGATATAGATAAATATATGATATTTTATGTATAAGTACACATTACAAATATATGTGCAGAGGCGCCTGGGTGACTCAGTCATTAAGCGTCTGCCTTCGGCTCAGGTCATAATCCCAGGATCCTGGGATCACGCCCCGCATCGGGCTCTCTGCTCTGTGGGAAGCCTGCTTCTCTTGCTATCTCTCTCTCTGTCTAATAAATAAAATCTTTAATAAAAAAAATATATATATGTGCAAAATTTATCTCCTCCAGTCCTTTCTTAAGAAGCAGGAAATTCATAAGCTTAGACACAAAAATCTATTTACTTATATTTTGTATTTCTCAAAACCTCACACCCATTCTACAAATATATATATAAACTACATACTCACAGGATATTGAGCTGGAAGAGATCTTTCTGATCATGTGATCCAACTGTCTTGTGTTAAAATGAGTAAATCAAGGCCCAAAGAGGGAAGTTACAGGAGTAGTGGGTAAGACCTATCTTTTTTTCTAGTATCTCAAAAACTAAAACTTCTGCTTTTCACATAAGTAAATACAACTTAACAGAGTTGTGAGAAAACAAAGGTTATTAAATAAATTTGATTGAAGGGAAAGTCTCCTGTCAAATGAAGTTTAATAGTTATATCTGTATTTTTTTTTTTTTTACAGAGCTGTACATGAAGGCAGTTATTTTATAAAGCTAAAAGTTAAATCTAGGAAATAAGGAAAAACCATGATTGTTCTCCAAATATGTTTTCCTACAATAAGAGAGATCCAGTTTAACTGGACAAATGATCAGCATTTCAGCTTAATTTCACCCCTAAGGCACATCACTGGAATATTATGTTTTATAAAAGTAGAGGTTTGATTTATATCACCACCAACCCCATCCTTCGACCAAAATTCCAGTCTTATCAATAAGTTTGGGAAGGCTACCAGTCTATGTCCCTTTTTCAACAGCTACACTACACCCTTCTCTCTCTCTCTCTCTCTCTCTCTCTCTCTCACACACACACACACACACACACTACCACCACCACCATTTGATCAAATTCCAGGGAGAACACACATGACCCATCTATGCTATCCTTCCCCCTAACAGACTACATGAGATTAAATGTAAAGACACATTGTGCTGCCCTGGGTCCTACAACAGTACAAGAAATTATGTTAGCTACAACAGTCTAGCTAAGAAATAAGAAAAAAATTAAAGGTGATGTGAAGTGAAGAATTTCAAATATCTGTGCCAAAAAAATTCTGTACCCCAAGTATATGAGAACACATTTCTTGAGCAAACAGCTCTAACATACCTCCTATGTCTTTGCTTCCATTTCTGTGCCAGGACCAGAGAAAGCTAATTCTCTCCCAGAGATTGGCTCACTGAATTCTAGCATCCTGGAAACCCGCACTTAGCTTTCCCTCCAGGCTCTGTCACAGAGTCACTGAGTGACTTGCCGAAAGGACCCCTCTCCTTCTCAGCATCTCCTAGGTATTAACAGTCTGGGGAGGTCCCGCCACCAGCTGGCTATATATCTGTTTCACCTTTTCGTCTTTCCTGCTCAGAGCCCCAGTGCAATTGTTGAGCCTTGACTGGGGCCATCTGTCCTGTCTTTCTATCACCCCACAGTGTAAGGAAATATGTAACACTGTGGGTTGTCTGAAAAAGCACTCTCAGGGCTCCCAGACCTGGTGAATGCACTCAGCTGTTCTATTTTTGGTCATTCTCTTTGTTTTGTTCTCAGAAAAGCCTAATTCCGGTCTATGTCTTAGGCATCCTGCCATGGACACGTTACTCCCCCCCCTCCCCTCCCCCCTAATTGCCTAATCTAATTTCATCCAAGGGGCTCTGCACAGAGAAGGAAATATGTGACAAGACCAAGAGAGGACTGGCACATTGCTGTGCTCATTGGTCTGCAGACTTGACATGACACCAGCTACACTTGTGGAATTTAGGAACATGAGCCCTCTCTGCGGTACACTGATCACAACCACACTCCCACCAGCCTCTGTGCACCAAAAACCCCTACTTCCTGTAGACAAAGACAAGCCCAGGCATTGGTTAGGACTCTGCTTATCTTATCCTGGTCTAATTTGAGGTACCCAGTCTCTGACATGGCTATCAGAATAAGTTCCCTTTGTCACACCTTTACCAGAGAAAGACTTTTCTAACCTAAAGTGACCTGCCAAGGAAACAAGAATTATCAGACTAGCCCCACCAAGGGCACATGGGAAGACTATACATTTATTTTCTTTTCAGTGGAATCTCCTGCAGCCAAGAACATCCTTAAAGACCTAGTAATGTTTGTAGATATAAACAAGTAAATAAGAAAAAATAATGTAGAAGGAACCAGGACAAAGAGAAGGAAAAAGGGAAAGAATATCTTCATTAAATGGGAGAAATACTTAGAAAAATGATCACCCACTACATAGTGCACTGGAAAAAAAGTGGAAAAAGACAAAGTGATGTCCGTAAGTTGTGACTGGCAGAGAAAGACTGAAAAATAATCTCTGATTAAGTTATCGGTGTATTTGGCCATGTGTGAATACACACTTGAACACACACCTCTCTGCCCTTAAAGTCCATAGGTTAGCTATTTAAAGGACTTAATATTGATACCTTCAGCATTCTTCAAAAAGCAAATCGCCTATGGGGTTTATGAATACAGTGGGAAAGTGGAACTGGTCCATTTCTTATTTCCTTTTTATATAAATTCCCTGATCAGATGCTTGCTAGCAGAATGGGTAAAGCAAGTATATCAGTGACTCCAAGCTTCAAAGTGAGAGCTCATAAAGGAATACCAGGATTCTTGCATTGCAAAAAAAAGAAGAAGAAGAAGAAGAATCCAGAAGCAGTGCCCTTGCCCTACCTACCTCTACTCTGCCCCACCACTGCCACTACTGAAAAGAAGGAAGGAAAGGAGAGACAAGAGGGTGTTTGTCCACACTTTATACAATCGCTGGGGGGGCAGATGAAGGGCAATGAGCAGTTTTGGCACCAGATTATTTCCAAGTGACTGGAGCTGCTGGAGCTGCCATCACCATGAGCTGGAGGAAACAAAGTGCCCACAGGAGCATCCATCTTACCTGGGAAGCATAGAAGTTCAGGCAGATGTAGGTGAAACACAGGAGCAATCCCAGCCCCTGAATTATGGCTGCCACCAGCAATAGCTTGTTCTTCTGGAATCTTCGCCCTGGTGTGTTTCCCACATTCTCATCCAGGGGTTGGACCCCTTCCATCTTCACAGTTGGGATGCAAGGAAGATGAAAACTGTGGTAAAGGGGAGCCTGAGGGGGACTGACCTCTTCTCCACAAAGAAGGAGATGAAGGGAAAACAAAGCTTATCAATCAGAAAATACACAGAGGTCCCAGGACCAGAGATAAGAGGCGATTGAAAGAGCAGAACGCACTCTCTCAGTTTTAACACTGCAGCTTCTGCAGGCAGGCGGGGGAACTTCTTTGTGACTAATCTGAATTTCCCCTTTACTTTCTTTCTTTTTTTTTCCTCTGGGCTAACAGGGAGTTGTTTTTGTAGCATTCCAGTTCTGATTTGAGTGACTGTGAAATGACAGTCATAAAAGTGTGCTAATTTCTTAATTTCTCATTGCACCAGTAACCAAATTGTGGGTCACTTGATAAAGATAAAAATCATCATCCGTTGATGTAGGAGTTCCTGTATCCCTTCCCTGAGGTGTCTTAAGTAAGAGAAGAGATTGGAGGGAAATGTTGGACTTAATTTCTCATCTGCACTTTATTGAGTAACTAAGCATTGAACCGTTGTACAAATATCCATGGATATAAAGAAGCACACACAGACCGTTCTTGAAATGAAAGAGAGAAAAGAAGAAAATGGGATGGTGGTCATGTAACAATAAAGGAGTGAGATCCGGACGCCTGGGTGGCTCAGTTGGTTAAGCGACTGCCTTCGGCTCAGGTCATGATCCTGGAGTCCCTGGATCGAGTCCCGCATCGGGCTCCCTGCTCGGTGGGGAGTCTGCTTCTCCCTCTGACCCTCCCGACCCTCCCCCCTCTCATGCTCTCTCTCTCTCTCAGTCTCTCTCTCAAATAAATAAATAAAATCTTTAAAAAAAAAAAGGAGTGAGATCCTCTGGTTTTAGTACATTGCATTATAATAAATATTGAGCATCTCCTATCGTCAGACACTGTACTAGATAGACAGCCTTACAATCTTTTTCTCCTTTGATCTTTTAAGGCAAATTTAGTAAGCATTTACATGATTAATTTTAAGCATAGCAGAAAAGAAGCAGAAGAGTATCCTGAACTTTTCCCCTTCCTTCCACTTTTCCTTGTCCCCTTACATAATTTTTGTGTGAATGAAGAAATGAATAGATTGAAATAGATTGTTCCTTCCTTTGAGGTCAGAGGCGGGACTCAGAACTTAGAAAATAAGAGTATTCTACCAGTAGATGGACACTACTCACCCTTGAGCACTGAAATAAATGACAAAATGAAATAAATGATGAAATGATTTATAAAGTCAAGTCCAGATTGACAAATATTTACTGGATACATGGTAAACCCAGTGCTGTATGGAAGGACATGGGGATGCTGGGGAGGGGAAGTTTAAGGCAGAATTCTGTTTCTTCTGTGGGCAAGTAGGTCTCTCTAAGCTTCCCATGAGCCATTCAACAGATATTTAAAGAAAGGAGGGAGGAAAGACTATTTTGATATCAATAATATTGATGCTATATCAACTTAATTTTATAGAAAGTGAATATAAGGCATATTCCAAAGAGATATCGTTTGTGGAAAATGGAAAATACTTTTATTATTACAGCATAAATCAAAGAAGATATGAATTAATATCCTCATTATAATCATTATGCCTTGCACTTGGAGAACACTTTGGTCTTCAGAAATTCAAGTTTTTGTCTGGAAGATAAGGTAACACTTTATCATATACTCCAAGCCAAAATTAAAAAGCAAGTTCCAACAATGAATCATGGAACACTACATCTAAAACTAATGATGTAATGTATGAGGATTAACATAACAATAAAAAAAATTTTTTAAAAATTAAAAAAAAAAAAGCAAGTTCCATTGACACTTATTTCTAGCTAGTTATTCCTATGAGCAAAGTATGTGTAACATTGGGCGCCTGGGTGGCTCAGTTGGTTAAGCGACTGCCTTCGGCTCAGGTCATGATCCTGGAGTCCCGGGATCGAGCCCCGCGTCGGGCTCCCTGCTCAGCGGGAAGTCTGCTTCTCCTTCTGACCCTCCTCCGTCTCATGCTCTCTCTCATTCTCTCTCTCGCAAATAAATAAAATCTTAAAAAAAAAAAAAAAGCATGTGTAACATACAGGGTGTGGAGGGGGGAAAAAATGAAAAAAAAATCAGTGTGTAGAGCCCAATTCTTGTGTAATAGTTGATAGTCATAAACAGATGTTAAAATTGGTAATGACTTACTCATTTATTTTCAAAACCCAATGAAAAGAGTAAAGCCTAAAATACTAAAAGAAACTATAAAGACTAGCTGTAAAAGATCTATGAAAACTATTAATGCTGAAATTATAGAAAATATTTTTAAATGACTGCCAAAAGGATAGAAAAATAAACATTTAGTGTGTGTACTTCTGCCCTGAGCCGTATCTCTTCTCATTATTAACATCGTGGTTTCTATGAAGAAAAACTACAATTACTGTTTTTTGTTATAGACGATGAGAACTATGCAACAGAATAAGCTTCCATTTTTGTGTTGTCCCAAAAGAGCGCGGGGTCGACCATTGCAATGTGTGGGTCTACAGGAGTGCGGCGCACGTCTCACCTCCCTGTCTGGATCTCCAACGTCATATTTTGCCTACTTGTGATGTTTAGGTTAAAGTTCAAGTGATGGTATACATCAAAACATTTCTCTTTTTATTGAACACATTCTCACAGTTTCTTCACATTCTTTGTGGGAAGCAGAGGAATGCACCCAGAAAAAATAAATATAAATTGGCCTGGAAGTTCCAGGCAAGCCCTATTGACAGACTACATCAACATTTCAAAGTTGGGCTGTCCTGGCATTTGGAACAAGTAAAACCACCGTCTGAGACATCGCCGATGGCATTCTATCTCAGGCAAATGGACAGAGTCCTCCAGCTTCAAAGAGGATGTTTTCAAAGAGGTCAAGAATGTTACCTGAATCTCTGTGCTGTTTTGTAAAGCTTCTCGCAGAGATCACACACACAGACCCTCCAGAGCAAGCCAGTCTTGGAAGGAAGCCTCAACTTCATTCCAAGCAATTATCTTCCCATAGATCTTTGACCTCTAAACGAATGGCCATTTCAAGATTACAGAAAAGTATGGAAAATAAAAGGCTTTGACAACTGACAGAATACCTCATGCTTAGAAAGCAGCAAAAACTTTTTAAAAAAATATTTGTTTGGTGTGTGTGGGGTATTTGTTTTGTGTTGTTCTATTTGATTTTTTGGTTTGGTTTGGGGGGAGGGGTATGGTGGTAAAATCTGGCTTTTCATTGGTTTCTAAGTCATTTGTCCACTCAACCAGCATAAGCCGGGTGCCGGCATACTGGTGCTAGGGAAATGACATGAACAAAACACGTTCTTAGTCCTCAAGGAGGTCATAGACAGGAAGGCAGGACAGTCACAGGCGGGAAAGTAAGAGCAGTAATAGCTGGGCAGGGAATGAGGGGAACGCAACATGGTGAAGCTGCTTGTGCTTTGCCCATTTGTGAACTGTGACTAGAGAGGAGGACTGTGAAGGAGAGTGACCGGGGAAGAGGCTTGCAGTCACAAATGGACTTTTGTTCTAAGAACTTTGAACTTTATCCTGAAGGTTTGGGGGAAACAAAGAAAGGTTTGAAGCAGAATGTAATATGGTGACATTTTAGAAAAATATCTCCTTGAGTGAAATAGAAATGGCAGAGCAGGATCAAGGGCACTAGCTGGGGGACTTTTCCAGGGCACCCTGTGGCATCTGAGGAGAAGAGTGTGGTCTGAAGCCACCTCTGCCCTGAGCTGTCCCTGTCCTCCATCCTTGAGTGGAAGGCTTCGCCCTATAGGAAGGGCAGTCTTTATCTTCCCACAAAGGTGTGCATGGCTTCCCAAGCCCCAAGTGGACAAAGAGCTGCATCCACCCAAATAAAAGCCACCTTTTTAAATTCATAAATTCAGAGAGGGCACCTTGTTCTAATTCACACAAAGACAGCGGTAGGGTGTCGGGAACTTGCAATTATTTAAGTGAGAAATAAGATCCTAAACTGAAGCAGAGAGGGAAAGATATTTACAGTGGCTATTAACTCACCAAATGTTTTGAGGGCCTATTCTATGCCAACCTCTGAACATACAAAGGGAGTCATAACTAAGCTCTGTCCTGGGACAAGTGACGAATTAAGAGAGTTGGTGATGGAAACAAATGCATTCCAAATGTCAAAAGCCTGATTTGCCGTCTGCCTTCCCAACCTGATCTCGATCCTAATGTCTTCATTCTGGTTAATGTTCCAGCATTCCAGAATCTCAAAACCCCAGAATCAGCTTTGACTCTTCCTTGGCCCCAATCGTTCAAGCTCTGTAGGACTATCCCTGCGGCACAGCTCATAATTTCCTCCACTTTGCCTTTCTTACTGCTTCTGACCCAAGTCCTTATTACTCCTCACTTGAACTCCTGAAGGAAACTTCTAGCTCTTCTCCTTATTTCCAATCTCTTTGATCTCCAATCCATTCTGCTTTGGCAGATTCTTTAAGCCCAGTGATGACTAAATTCTATCAAGGGTCTACATCTCAAAAAGGATGCAGCTGAAACTCATTGGCTTGATATTCAAGTCACTCCGTAATGGGACCTAGAGTTTCATGTTTCCACTCCAAACTTATCTCCTTCTGTTTCCTGGTGATTTCTGATAGTTGCTGTGCCTCAAATATCCTTACCCTCCATCTCTGACAATCAAAGCCTACACACTACATTTTCCATGAAGGGCTGGCTGTCTTGTGAGGCACTGAGCTTGCAGTGTTCCAGAAAAAACTAAACAAAACCCCTGAAGGAATCTTGTTCTGGGAATCCATCGAGTGGGGAGAGTTGTATGAACAGTAGTTCCCAAAGCCTAGTTGATCGTCAGAATCACGAGGATAGCTTTTGAAAGATCAGATTCCTGACCCCTTCATTCTAGAAATTCTGATTTGAGAAGTTTGGAGTAGTGCCTTGTGAATCTGTATTTCTAAAACTTCTGGTAAGATTTGTGAATCTCCCCAGATGACCACTTAAGGTCTCTTTCATTATTACATTTCTATGATAAGGAGCTTCCCCTGGGCCTCCCAGAAGAATGCAGTTGTTTCCACCCCTGTATCAAGAGCATTTATCATAATCTCTCTTGTGTCATAACAATTTAAATCTATTTCAGGCTCCTCCATGACGTTGCATGATCCTAAAGTTAAGAGTCTTGTATAGCACTCACTCTCAGGGCCAAAATCGTCTTTCTATAAAGATTTACCAAATTAAATTGAATTTGCTTGCAGTAGATCTGAAACGTGCTATTTTCAGGATCAGAAAGAATGAGAGTCTAAACAAAACTGAAAATGGCACTATTAAATACAGAAGTTTCCTGATAGCTGGACTTTGGT